TTGTATTTTTGAATTCAAATAGCTTTTAAACAAAAGCAAACCGACTATACAAATGTCTGCTCTTTAAATCTGATCCAAATGGAAAATATATCTTATAATCTCTGATATTTGTTGGTCTAGCTTTCATAATACAACTACAATATCTATTGTTTTCCATGTGGTCATTATCTGTTAATATTCCTCTGAACAACACATAATGCCTCTCCTAATCCTTTGAGTTTTATGTGCTACTTTGAGACACATTTTATCACAGAATTTGTTGCTATATTTATTACACAACGCAGCCAGGAATGGAGACAATTCCTGTGCACAACTTAGTCTAAAAAAATGTAAATATTAAAACAACATTATTTCATTAGCAATTCCTAAAGGGATAGTATCACTTGCTAAAGAAATCGACTTATTGAAAGACTTAGATTAGTTTAATATCAGAAATTTTTATTGCATTAAACCTAAATCTCACACTTTTCAAAATATAGTTTCTAACACAGAGTTCGCAAATGATAAGTTGTACTCAAAATTACAAATGACAAACTTTATAGGATAGGATAATAATTCTTGCTAAAGAATAAAATTTATATAAAAAAATTGGTTTTCAGGTTAGAAATTTGTACTGTATTAAAATAACTCTCACACCTTTCAATCTATAGTCTTTAGTCAGAGTTCACAAATAGCAAGATACTCTATATTACAAAAGACAAACTTTATAGGATAGGATAATATTATTTGCTAAAGAATAAAATATAATAAACTTACTTTAGTTTTGAGGTTAGATATGTGTACTGTATTAAATATAACTCTCACACCTTTCAAAGTGTATTCTTAACACCAAGTTCACAAATAGCAAGATACTCCATCTTACAAAAGACAAACTAGGATAGGATAATTCATGACATGATTATTATTGCTTTCTTATTTTAATGTTTTTAGTTTTTCTCTATTTTCCCCCTTCTTTCAATAAGAGAAAAGGGTTAGTGGAATTATTTTTTATATTATTGATTTTTTATTTAAGAGCCGCTAGATTCAATAATGATGGTGACTGGGATCGACCACATGCATTTGCAGTTTTATGCAGGTTCACAGTATGTATAAATGTAAATGATGAGATATCTGGAAGTTATATACATGTGCATATTCTTTAATGGTTATAAATGAGGGCGTACTGAAAAGTTCTCAGGCCAATGTACTTTTCAAAATCTGACCAAATTATCAAACATTAGAAATGTTTGTTTGAAATACCTTCTTGGTCAGTCTGACAAATTTTCACCATCCCCTCATATGTGGCATGTTTGTTTTTAAATAGATATGAACACATGAAAATACTCATTCATCATAATAAGTCTGACCAAAATTTAAATAATTCTATTAAGACGAAAACGTATTGAAAGTGCACTAATTTCTGAGTCTTCCAGGGTAAATTTAAAACCAGGATCATAGAACATATTTGCTTTCATAATAAAACTGCTTCTATTACAACGTGGGATATTTAAAATCTATAGCAATAAAAACGAAAACAAAATCAGTACAAAAATGAAAACCAAGCTTAGGGTAGAAGAATATAATGTTGAATAAAGAATTTATCCATAGAAATTATATATATATATATATATATATATATATATATATATATATATATATATATATAGGAGGCACGTGGAGTATTGGATAGCGGCTTAGATTGAGGAATCACAGAGCCGAGTTCAATTCCATTCGAATCCATTACATTCACTTACATGCTAATACCATTGGGAAAGGTATGAATTCTCTTCCTCTCCCCCCAGCTATACGTAAAACAGCAGGACAGACTGGGTTCTATAGCCTTGGATGGCAACTGGTCTAGGAGAAGGATAACTCTGAATTTAAAAACCTGCGGAGTGTCGTTTGGGAACCTTGTGGCACTCGGTGCACCTGGTCTCTGTATTCGGCCCTTCAAAAGTGTGGATGGTCCTGCACGAAGCCTTCACCACTATAATCAAATCTCATGTGCCGGTGTCGGGCTGTCGGTTTCCTGGAAACTGATCTGCTTGACCTTCATCTGTCGAATCTCGACAGGAGAGTCGACTATATATATATATAATGACCAAGAAATTCTTTATATATTTTTTATTCTTTGTATATTTTTTATATATAAAATTTTATTTTATTTATAAAAATATATTTTATATATTTTATTTTATTTTATTTTATATATGAAAATATATTTTATATATAAAATTATATTTTATATATATATATATATATATATATATATATATATGAAATGGACAAAGTCCGACAACTATTTTAAGACATTTTTATGTTTAAACATTCTTTTTATAGATACAAATATTTAAGTAAATACTCTGTTTATAATAAATAGTATTAAACAACATTTACCGGCCTGAATATCCAAGAAATTTTCATAGAAAATGTTCATCCTCCAACAGGAATCGAACCTGTATCCTATACGGAACTGTCATATCATTGGACCACAGAGGAACATTCTATTGTAGTTTAAAGACAGTAAAATCGACCTTGCTAACCGAACACTCCTTTGTGGCTCAAACGGTTAAGGCACATCAGGCTATATGACGGTGCTGTGTATAGCCAGTTGACCAGGGCAAGACTTCTATTTTTAGAAGATTTTTAACATGTCTTTACCTCCAAACACATCCTTGATAATGGCTATCGAAGTAGCCAAAAGCACTTGGAATAGACAATTATAACTATTAACAATTCCTATATTATTTAACCCCTGAAAAAAATGTTATCTCTCCTGTTAAGAAAAATGTTAGACTGCTGAAAAACTCAAAAGATTAATTAAATCTTCTTTGTCAGTCATTTTCAATGAAAGTTGCATGCATATACATATATATATATATATATATATATATATATATATATATATATATATATATATATATATTTTTTGAAGTATATCTTCATTCAAACATGAATCATTGAATAATATAGACATATTGTGGCTACTTATTTTTTTAATGATCCTTTCCAGTCATCTGATCAGTTTCTTGATATTAAATGAAATTCATCAAGGAAGCCACCTTTTTTTAATTCAAGTACTTTTGACTTCTTCTAAGATCATCTTTAGGGGTAAATTACAAAGATAAAACATTGTAACTGCAATGAAATCTGCATTCTGTTGTCATAGTGATTTATATATATGTGGATGCTACTATAGTATGATATCTACCGAGGCATTTGAGACCTACCATAAATGTCGATGCACTCATTATTACCGGAAAATTCTCAGGAAAAACAATGACCTTGTTCATTGTTTTTTTTTAAAATGACATCATTCAGTTTACAAACATTAAAATCACTATTTGATGATTTTTTTTGTATAAAAAAATGGTTAATGATTTTTAATGCATAACCAGTTCACTGTTTACTGCCTTTAATCCTAACCCTAAAATATTTCATACTTCCAGCAGTTACTAAATACTATACTATAGTAGAAAATGGATGGTATATCTAGTAGCATATGCATATGTCTGTTTGTGTATTTGGATGGCAAAACAGAAAAACTCAATTAAATACATTTCATTTTTCAAAAAGGCTTCTTTAGGCTAAATAATGTTCTCATTGGAAGGAGAAAATAAAATACAACAAAAAACAATTACCATTCTATATTGAGAGAAACACTGAAGATCCAGGAATGCCTAAATTTAAATTTAAATTCTTAATTTCTCATCTCATGTGTCAAGTTGCCTAACCGTGTTCATCTTTCTACTGCTTTTTTTTTTATTTTTATCATTGCCAATTTTAAATATCTCACACTGTAATGCCAGAAAAGTGATTAACAAAAGTGGTTACAGCTAACAATTCTGAAAAAGGATCGATGATGTTCAAAATTATTGTTGGAGATTATAAAAACCTGATTACTGATGAGATAAAAATGTATCAAACTAACAACAGTTTTCCAAGTTTGCAATCCAGTTTACCAACTATCCAAAACGACTAGATTATACTTTTGTACATATCAAAAAATTACCGTAATTCTACCAATGCATTCCTACAAATCTTATGCATGAAAAAAATTAGAAATAGCATCTCAACTTCACTAATGCAAAGATATAATAATGAAATATTTATAAAACATTATTGTCTCTTGCTTAACTAAAGTTCTATCCAAATGTCATTGCCTGGTTCACAATCCTCCCTTGTCTTTTGAACAGGAGTAGAAGTTTATCCTTTGTTTCCTGGTTCCTTCTAAAGCCTTTTCCTTCTCTTTCACTCCGTGCAACTTGGTAGCATTATCTTCTTGCTTGGGTTGGAACCTCTTAAACTGTAATATCTTGAGTGGCTCTTAGGCCTTGTACAGGGTAAGCATCATTGTTAAAAAACATAATCTTAATAATATATAAAACTGTCATTGCATTGCAATGAGGTCATCTCTTGGTCTCATCTTGGTCTATAATCTTCAATTAGTCAAATCCCACCTAGAGATGAAAGACTTTAAAAATTTAACTAAACCCATAATACATATGAAATATATTTAAATGCAAATCAGTCGCCATCTTCTGCCGTCTTGAATTTTGTACTTTTTTGTCTTTTCTACTCATTAATGTTTACTCATCTTCTTTCACTCTCAGTAACACACTGTGTATCAATAGCATTATTGTCTTACTTGGAGGGGAAATGATTAAAAAAATATGTACAAAATATATTCCTATCAGTAAAAAATAAAAATGAATCAATTTTAATAGATAAATTTTCACCACAAACATATGAAAACAAGTTGGGTGTATTATATGTATTCAATAAATAAATAAGAAATACATAGACACAATATGCAGAAAACCACAAGATTTATTGATTTGCTTTTTCATGGAATATCAACCTTTGGCAGGTTATCTAATAACTCATAGCTGTGGGGAGAAGTGGGTTCATGCCTTTTCCAAGATGTAAGTGCATATAACAAACCCGACTGGAATTAGAACTCATCTCTTCAATTTTAAATTCCAAGCTGTTATCTATTACACCACCTGCACCTACAAGGTTACAACATATTGGTATTCCCAAGTGGTCACTCATCTAGGTACTGACCAGGCTCAACATTGCTTAACTTTGGTGATCATATGAGAACTGGTCTTTCAATGTAATGTGCCCATAAGCCAATACCACAATAGGCTTTACTTATGCTGTAAGTAGCCTACAAATGATGTATTAATGCAGTCAAAACATGATTTAAATTAATACTAAATTTCAAACACCATAATAGTAAATGTTACTCTCCTCTCTATTCTACTATATGGTCTCTCACCTCACCCTTGTATCTTTGGCTTCGAGTCCTGCAACCTCAGGATCATCAAGGGGGAACATTGATCTGATTTCATGTCCCATAAAGAGATCCAATAAAGTACCAATCAGCCAAATATCCTCAGCACCATTGCTGTGTTCACTGGCTTGGCCATATCCTGCAATGACCTGATGACCACATTACCAGGGTCATCTTTCAGATTGACCCGCCATCTGTAAACTCGTGGCAGACCACATAGCTGCTGGAAGGATGTTGTCCACCAGGACATCCAGTATATTAATCTAACACTGGAGAATGTTTCAACACTCTACCAAGACTGTGGGAGATGGAAGCACAAGGGCAGCTCTTTTTGTGCCAGGAGATTTAGCACCAGCAGCAGCAGCAGCAGCAGCAGGATAATGGCAAAACAATTTGCTTTCCCATTGTCAACATTTTTTTTGCACTCAGAAACTATACCTTAATTCCATTCTTGAAAATGAGCAATGTCCATTGAAAGAACTTGTGCATGTACAGATAATTTTTATGTATACAAGAAAGACACATTCATTATCATGTACAAGAGGGGAAAAAAAATCACCGCCCAAAAAATATTAAACCAAACTGTGTCAGTGGTTGTCAGTAAAACCTTTTTTTTTGACACACACGTATACAAATGTTTGTGAATCAGTTTATACACACATACACATGTATAAGAAAAAGCGAGTTAATTTGTGTGTGTATGTGTGTGTGTTTCTAATAACCTGAAGGCGTAGAAACTGTACTTGATTTTCTTTCTTACTGTGATAGGAACCAATGGCAATATTCTAAGAGGAGAGATGCAATTGATGTTTGACACCTGCTGTGTTTAAAAGTGGAAGCTCAGTCTTCAAGAGTTGACTGATGAATGCCTGTCACCTGCAGCACTGTGGATTAATACTTGCAAAGCTCTCAGTGCGACAGCACATAGGTAAAGGAAACCTGGAAGGTGCGTATAAACATAGAATATGGGGTTATTCACATTTCTAATTTTCAACCCACAAAGCCAGCCTTCATTTAACAGATTTCTTGGTTTGTCAAGAGAGGATTTCTGGGAGAGTTTTGTTTTTCTTTTTGAAATCAATGTGATTTTACTAGGAACTAGTGCAACTATGCCGTCAAAAGAGACGGTAATCATTAGGAACTTTTAATAGTGAGAAGCAATGAAACAAGAGTCTTGAAACAATGTATTGAGATTTAATAAAAGAAAGACAAAGAATTCACAACTAGAATAGAGGCTGATCAACCATTTAATTAATCTGTTCCCTATATAATTTTAGACATTCAACAGTATCTATGATTCATTTATTACTCCTGGTATTATATAAATTGCTTTTTGCCCAATATTTTTTTCAAATTAAAAAGTCTTTAATGTAACAATGAAATGGAAATATCGCTTGGAAGAAAAAGATTAGCAACAATAACAAAGATGGTGATGATAAAGCTTATTTAAAAACCAAGTTGAAGCAAGATGATCACTTAATAGACAAAGGTATCTGAGTGCCTCCCATGAAAGGCTTGCACAAAGAAGACTGTAATCTAAGAAATGTAGGAGTAAAGGAACTGTTTAACTAAACTGTTCATTTTTCTCAGGAAATAATTTTGTCTAAATTCAGATAAAAATTTAATTTCTATTGATTATTAAAATGGCTAAGGGAAGTAATCATTTATATATTTACTAACTTAAATTGATTTAACTCCCTTCCTACTACATATGAGACAGGAAATATATAAATCAATACACATTGATAAATATATGCTATGATGACTGAATTTGAAATGCAAATAATATGGCATGGAAATTAATGCAAAAAAAAAAAAATTAAAAACTAATGATGAACAATGAAAAAAGTTTTTCAACTCAGATAAAAGTCACTGGTCAGAAATTTAAATAATGACCCAATTCCAATATCTTGGCTTGATTATCAATGAAAAGAGAGGTATAAAATAGAAATAGGCTGCAGCTACAAAACTAAGAACCATCAGATATTACAAGAACATCTGCCTTAAATCAAACATCAGACTGTTGTGAGCATTGGCCTTCCCAAACTTTCTGTATACCTTGCATTCTTGGGCAAACAGTAAAGTTACAATGTAGAATCCAAGAATTAGAAATCAAATGCTCATATGCCGACCACATCATAAATGTTAATGCATGAGACACCATCAGACAAGAAACAAGCCCACTGGAAGATCTCATGTCCACCATCAAGGAGAGAAAGCTGAAATGGTACGGACATATTAAAAGAGCCAATAATATTTCTACTTCCACCCTACAAGATTCAACCACCAGCAAAATAAAAGACAACAACATGGGAAAAAAAATGAACTGGCAGTATCACTGACTGGACTGGAATATCATTCATAAAAAAATCAGACATTTGCACATAACTGGAATATACGGCAGGAACTGGCCAGATACTCAGCAGTTCACCAAAGTAGCAAGCATACTATATCATGGTAATGATGATATAAATGAAAAATTCTCAGATTATCTAAAATTCTGAGATTAAGTACTTATATTATATATATATATATATATATATATATATATATATATATTAGGTTGGTGCAAAAATAATGACGTAAGAATGTTGTTTTTTGACATTAAAAAATACGTCAAAAAATGACATTATTACGTCATTATTTTTGCACCAACCTAATATATATATATATATATATATATATATATTATCACTTTAAACATTATTTTAACACTTTTCCTGTCCTGCACATCATCTGTAATGCCCAGGAGATGTGATTTCCATGTCTATGTGTCAAATGTGGTGCAAATGAACCATAATTTTAAGATTGGTAAAACTAAAGATGCTTAAGAAAAGAGTCTACTATTGAGCAGGATGTCAAGGAAAGACCGAATCTAATATTTTGTACATTATATACGACCACAGGATACTTGACTGTTTTCAGATTTATAACTACTTCAATACATCTCAGCTTATTTGGCAAATAGAATGTGATGATATGTTGTGTTTCACTTAATAAAAACCTATGCATCGCATGTGATGCACAGAGCATAGTGCAAATAACTCATGATTTGTACATTTTTATGATGTGAAACACTATATATCAACACATTCTATTTGCCAAATAAGCTGAGTTATCTTGAAATAGTTTTAAATCTGAAAACAAACATGAATGTTTGAAAAGGCCTTGGAGAGGGGAAAGGGTTGAAGTGTTAAAATCTGATGGGTTAATAAATAAACAAATCTGTTAACTTCTTTGCAAAGACAGTTGAAATTTTGGGGACAAATAATATAATACTCATATGGTTCATTGAACATCAAAGAAACTGGTCGGGGAAGTAGTTCAAGCAAAAGGAATGGAGGAACACATAGTACAGAGTGACTTAAAACTTGATGTGCTATCCATTTTATATATATATATATATATATATATATATATATATATATATAGGGGAGTTCCTTTCTAATCCTAATATCAAGCAATAGAACATTACTTTCCAACCACTGTAACATAGGTTTCCAGTGACTTTTCTATAAATATTTCATGTAAACTATTCTAACAGCTTCTCCTCTATGGTACCTAGAATTTATGATTTTAAATGCAGTACTAGATTGGCAACTAGGTCTCATCATATTACAGTTAAAATGGCTAAATGTAACTGCAAGTTTTTTTAAAAACTGTTCCTTCTATGACACTTGTCACTTGTGGAACTCTTCAGACTTATTGCTTTCCAGTCAAGTTTGATCTTCAAAAATTTAAATGCAATGTCAATCATTATCTTCTGTTCTATTGTTCTTTTAGTGTTCATTCTCATTAACAGTGTTTTTTTCTTATATTCTGATACTTAGTAACCCTTTGCATCTTAGTGGCTTTATTGCCTTGCTTGGGGTGAAATGATTAAAAAATAAGATAAAATATTCAAACTTGTTTTTCTGATTCAATATTTTACAGAACTGATATCCACATGTCAGAGAGTTGGATAGCTAAATTGAATTTATTTACTGATATTATAGTTTACTTAAGAAACGTTACCTAATTTTCTCCAAAAAGATGTTAATTTTTGGTGTCAACTTATTTCAAATTTGTTCTTTCTTAAACATGTTATTGCATGACATAATATAATTTTGAAATTGTGTGGTTATGTGTATTAGATAATTTTTATATAATTAAAGTTTTTTGTTATGGCTTGGAATGTATATAAAAAAAAATGAAGTAAATTATTTGTTGTTTATTTGTTTGTTTGATGTTGTGTGGAATGTCATCATTTTTATTATGTCATTATCCTCTCTTCAAGTTATATGTGCTATCCATTTTAGTGCTTGCTGCTGTTGGTTGTCCTGAAATGATGTGGTTTCTGTAATCATGGTACAATACTTTGTTAGTAATTCTGTAGTGCCAATCTATAAGATCCAACAATGGATGGTCCTCTTCAAGACCTAGGTGGTTCTTTTGCTTGAATCCATTTTAAATAATGGTTCAGTGGTCATAAACATTATAAAAGATAGGAAATTGTGGAGAGCTATAATTGTTCATATCTTTAAGGGGCTTGGCATATCAAGAATAATATATTAATATGGAAACAGGCAAAATTAGAAAGGCTTTAGCCATTCATACAAGTTTTCATCTTTTAAGAGGAACATTAACTTTATAGTATCATAACTAGAGTTTGTTATTTTTAATCTGCTTTAGTGTCAACCTGATACAGGAAGCCCTAACTACAAAAATCACTTTTTCTAGGAACAGGTTTCAGTATCATGTTAAAATATAAACTTGGTTTGCTTATACACTTACATCCTGATAAGCCACCAGCAGCTCTTATGAAGAAAAATAACTTTTT